TCTCCTCCTCTCTTACATTCACTGGCACTACACACTATTCAACAGGGAGTGCTGTAATGACTTTTTTGCAAACCTCCCCTGCTGGAAAAAAAAATAAAAAAATCAGGAAACAGAATTGTTTATTGCTTAGCAAATACAGTGGCTGTTTAAAGCAGAATTTGGTTTTGTGCCTAATTTTATGTTTACATGAGAAGCAATTGAAACAGCATTTTACCAAGCAAATAACACAATGAAAACCAAAGCTGGCACAGCCTGTTGGAGTTGGGTTCTCTTGACTCTGTTACTTGCACTGATATTCTGCTTTTTTCAGCAGTGTATCTTTTTATAACTGCTGCCAAAATAGTTTATTTTCTTACTACTGCAAAAAAAACAGGAGCAGAATGGTAACACATAATGCACACATCTGTATTCTCCTTAAAACACTTCTTCCAACATATCACTAGGAATATGCATATTAAAAGATGGACCTAAAAAAATAAAGATTGATGATGGGATTATAGGCTAGCAGACACAAAGAAGAAAACAACTTTGATAGAACTCAGTAGAGTGTTAAAGATACAAAACAGAATGGAGCAGGTAACCTACTCCCTAGCTTGATGCATTCCAGACTTGTAGAGATGCAATTTCCTTTATTCTCAGGGCCACTGTGACTGTAATTATCAGAGCTCATTTGAAGGACACCAGGTTGGAGAAACTTATTCAAAAGCAGAACAGAAATGAACCACATGGAATGATAACAAAAGATTCAAGTGAAGAAACTGAGCTAAGCTTTGCAGACAAAAAGCAAAACAAAGCCAGAGAAAGGTAAACTGAAAAATACTGCTGTGCAGAGATTACAGAGAGGTAACCAAAGGTGTCTCCACTGAGCAGTTGAACAAAGGAAAGGGGAGTTGATATCTGACAATTGTTATGTGGGCTAAATTTTAGCACGTTTTGCATCTTGCCAGAGTTGAAACAAATGAAATGAAGATCTAGTGAAGATCTGACAGCACTAAAAAGTTTTTACCCTAAATATTCACAGTTGTTCCACACAAGGACAATTTCTAGGACAGTTTCATTTTCAAGAATTTTTTATATTTAACATCTGATATTTTTAAACTCTATGTAGTATTTCGCACACAGAACTCCAATTGATGCAACAGAATTTTGTACTGCAAATGAAAACCATGGATATATGCAAGAAATAATTAATCAGAATTGCTCTTTATAAAGTACACAGGTACACATGAATAATAGAGCAGAAAACCACTTTTCCAATTGGAAAACAATTGGCACGCTAAACACTAATAGGAAACCCAGCGGGAAACCGCACAGGCGTACCCTCAAAATGACCACCGAGCCAACCGCTGCGTTTTAGAGCCTATTTATTTCATTAAAAGCACCGGCTGCAGTCCCAGCGAACCACTCCCGCACCTCCCCTTCTGACGACAGCTATAAACTGCAACAGCTACATCTTTGGGCGCCCCCTAAGGGCAAGCAGCAAGTGCGGCGACCTCTGTGCCGGACGTCGATGCAATCCCTTAATCTTGTCTGTTTTTCCTCCCCAACCCTAGAGCTGGCTGGGTACCTTGCAGGCAGAATAAACTCCCAGTTTCTCTAGCTTCTTGGCGCGGGGTGCAGAGCGAAGCTGTGCCTTCTTCCCCGCGATATGAGCCGAGCCGAGCCCCCCGCCGCTGTTGCTATTACTACCACTTCCACTGCCTCCTCCTGCAGGGCTCTCAGCAGTAGCAGCTGCGGCAGCAGCGATAACAGCTCGGGCGGGACCACAAGCAGGCAACCCTCCAGCGGCCGGGGAACCCTGCTGCAATGCTCCGGCCCCGCCGCCGTTGGCCCCAAGGCTTGCTCCTGCTGCCGCTGCAGCTGCAGCTCCAAGCCCGGCCGCACCAGCCTCAGACATGCCGCAGCAGCGCGGGCGGCGGGAGGCTCGGCTCTGTTGTGACCGACGCCAGCCTTGCTCCGTGCCCGGTTCAGCGCGCCCGTCGAGCGCTCTGGACCCTCCCCTTTCCCCGCTTTGCAGCCGCCGGCTGCTCCCAAGGAGGGAGGGGACAGGCCGCACCGCGGGCGGGTCCTGCTGGGGAAGGGAAGAGAAGGCGGAGGCGAGGCGCCTGTTAAGGAGACAGTAAGGGAGAAAGACGGACATGTTCTTGGAGCTTGGCGTGGTTGTCCCTCTTGGCGGAAAGATCCCGCTGCCGACACGGCCTGGGCCTCCCTCGCCTAGGTGCTAAAACAGTGCTGCCTCCAACAGCTCTCCCTTAGCAGCATATTCACGGCCATGTAACCTTCCAGAGTCCATTTTTGCGCCCCAGGACAGACATCGTACTTCTCTGTGCCCTACGCGCGGCGCCCATGCCCAAAAATCGTCTTGCGGAGAACGGAGCTACGATGGCAGGGCGGAATGGAGTGGGTCGGGTTGGCAAAAGCCCCTCTGTTACAGAATCCAGGCTTCTCCAATTTGTCAGGAAATAAGTCTTCTAGAATGGTGAAGACTAGGACTTTAGAGGTGCCATGAGATACCAGCTTATGCCGCAATGAATCTCCGGCACTACCCTGTCACAGAACTCGTGAGCGCGGGCGCGGGCGCGCGCACGTATATTTGCTGTGTAAAAACTACCACTCGGAGGCGAAAGTGAGAAGTTCCCTCGGTGCGTGATACTTCCTCAAAAGGTAGAGAAAGGGGCAAACCTGGCCCTCAGCAGACTGGACCGAGGCCCTCGGGTGATAACAGCCGCCTCGTGCACGCTTCCACCCTTGGGCGCGCGCCAAGCACTGTAGTGGTGACAGCCAAATATGCGCTCCCGCCTGCATAAGTTATCTCGCGGCCTTTCCCTTGCTTCCAAAGACCATAGAGCAATGTCTTTAGGATAAAAGGAAGTTCACGGTTCGTTCATTCCTTCATACGTTCATTTCTGAAAAAGTTGTTGCGTTAGAAAGCGAGCTCGCAGATCTGTTGAAGGTAAATGCTGAAAAGGCACCGGGAGGAGCTTCAACAGCCATTGTTACTTTGGCTTGGATTAAAGAAAAACTGGTTAAAATTGCAGGAAGAGAAAAGTGATAGCTGGCAATGGAAAACCTTGCTTCGACTTCCTCGCGACCAACTTTGTTTAAAATCGCGAGAAAGAGAGATGAGAGATGAGATGTATATTGGAGAAAATCAGCTCTCTAGTTAACAAGCTTTGCCATTTCCTGAAATGATTTGCTGGAGGAGATGGCATTAAGATGACAACCTAACTAACTCTTGTTTGTTGATTATCTATTTCACTGACTTTTTGCTTCATCGTTTTCTATTACTCCTTTGCCCTACCAATGGTATATATTCTCGCCAGAGGATAATCCATGCAGCAGTAAACAATTGGTCCATGGTGGTTTATGTCAAAATAGTCTTCTAACTAGACTTAGACAAGCTTTACAGTAGTTGAAAACTAATCTAGAGTAAGATGGTCTTTTAATTCTTTTTAGAATAGGAGGGCTAAAGTTTTTTAAGTTAGATGTTTAGTTTTGCAGGTTCATATTTCTGTTTTCATTTCTGTATTGTGTTTCATGTTTATTTACATGTAGAACATTAATAAAGATTACATTAAAAAAGAGCTGTAGCAAAAAGTATATCTCTTACTGTTTATTTATTTAAACATTTGTATATCATATATTTTAACACTTCCAAGCCAATTACTTACAAAGATACTATCAAAAAGTCTTTTCACATGACTCCAAAAGATTTTGGTACATATCAAATTTATTTAGGAAAAAAATAATCCTAAATGATGGTCCAACTTAAAAACTTTTGGGGGGGTTGTTCCCTACTTGGTCTCAAATGACAAAAGACAGTTTGCTGCCAGAGCAAACATTCCTAAAAGCAAATTCCAGTCCTTACAATTGTATGTTAAGTCACTGAGCTAGAAATCAGGACATTGTAATTCTAGTCCAGCTTTAGGCATAAAACCAGCTGGATCACTTTGGGCCAGTTACTCATTCTCAGCCCTTGCAAAAAGAAAGCTAGAGCAAACCAAAAATCTTGCCAACAAAACTTTAGGGATTAGTTGAGGCTGTCACTAGGAGTTGAGGATGATTCAAAGGCAACCATTTTAACTCTTAATGTAATCAGTTCAAAAAGGACCAGTCATAAATTCATACATTAACTTCATTATGTCATATCTACAGAGGGCTTTGCTGTGATCTAATATAAAATACCTAGTGTGTTGAATACAAACCTTACTCTTACTTATTTTTGCATCTTTTTGCCACTTCGTTTGAAAGGGTCAGGAAACTCTAAGCAGCTAACATCGTGCTTAATTTTTTCCCCATGATAACTGTGAAAAGAGTGTGTGTTTAAGTCCATACTGTATTAACTCCTGACAAATGCCTAGACAGAAAATGATTGGCTCAAATCATTTACTAAACACCATGATTGAACAGGGACTTGAACCTCAGTCTTTCTAACCTAAATCCAACACTTAATCAGTAAATTTGGCAGTTGTAAGCACTTTCACATCCCACTATTTTCAGTAGATCTTGAAGACTGGTTTAAGCTGGATGTAACATCCTATTAACACAAATACTTCCTTAATAGTGAGCAGATTGCTGCAATATGCTGATGCTGAAAATCAAGACAAACCAAATTCATGGATGGATTTTATTTCTAAGCTTTCAAGTTTTTGTGCATTTAGCAGCAGAATCTGAATCATGAAACAATATAGCTTAAGGTACTAAGGAGCTAATGATATCTCCATTAAGTTCAAATGTTAAGGATATTTCTTGATTTTGATTTGTCTAAGAAACAAAAATACAGAAACCCAAAACAAAACAGGAAGCACCAATTTTAGCCTTGCTACATAATACAAATCAGAACAATATCTCAGTGGCTAAGGATACCGTTACTATAGTAATAATTGTAAACACTGGACTTAACTACTAGTCCAGAATTAATGTGCAACAGTATCAGAGAAAGGAATTCCAAAGAACATACGGCTTTCTAGAAGCTTAAGGTACTTATTTACAGATTTTCACTGAGTGAAAAGCATAAATTCAAGAAGGCTGTGATTAGATAGTCAGAGAGGGGTAAAGACTGAACACCGTGGCCAAAAAAAAGCAACAGGAAAGCTTTACAAAACTAGTCCTATTGGCCAGGCCTCTGCATGCCTAAAGACAATCACACATTCCAGTTACAGTGGACAAACAAATCAGAGATAAAAAGTAGATTTCAATAAGTTTTAATTTTAAAAAATAGTATTTTGCAATAACATTGAACTACATCAACTTTTATTCTTGGGAGTACCAGGACTGAAATCCAAATCATTTAAAAGGATTTAATTGAGCTTCTAAATATGTACTACAGGCACATAATCACAAGCAAAGACCTCATATATGAGGTTGAAAATCTAGCTCATATTGTATAATGAGATTGAAATACATCTTATTTGATGCAGCAACTTGATTTGATTCTCAACTTGCCTTGAAGTTCCAGGGTTGGTTTGGGACATTCACACTGGCTTTTGTATAGAATTTGTAAACTTGATGCTCCCCGTGCCACCACATCTGAGCCATAAATCTACATAATTTTCTACTTCTAAAATTCCTATTTTGTAACTATTTTTTCCTGATTTCTGTAGCAAAAACATAAAGAATAAAATAATTTTAGCCAATGTACACCAAGAGGTTCTAGTCCAATGCATTTTTATTTAGTTCTTAAACTACCCCTTCTTAATGCTTTTTAAATGCCTTTAAATACTTCTAAAATAATATCTATTCTATTTAATATCACCCATCTTACATCAATATTTTGTCCGCTGCCTACTGGGTTTTCATGTTAGTTTCTTATTTTCTCCATCATGACAGTGTTTAATCAGCTAAGTTGATTGCTTTAAAAATATTTAATTAACCAAAGTTTTTTCTAATAAATTTAAAATATAATTTACATTTTTGAAAACTACAAAGGGCATGTGCAGTTTAAGAAGCTCCCCATCTTACTTACACAGAATTAAAGTAATGAGTCCTGCAACATATATAATTAAGTATATCTTTTGGTTCAGGATAAGTTTTTGTACAGCTGTTTTTTAAGGGGTAATTTGCTGTGTTCTACTAGATATCCCATTCCACAGCTATTCATATGATATGTTTTATCAACATTTCAAATCAAAATTCCATTAAATGAATTGTCCTCTTAGCGATAATGAATTTTATTTGGTCTTTTTTAGTGCAATGTATATACTTAGCCTTTTTTCTAAAAAAAAAAATCATAACCTGTTTTATTATAGTTTGTTTAACCTAGTAATTGTGCTTTGTATAGTAAACCATGGACCTTGCATGATGTGTAAGTTTAATCATCCTTTATTGTATAATTATATATGAAATGACCTAAGAGCTCCTTCCCCCAATCATGCTGAAAAAAGAAAGTTAATTATGCTTAATAATCTGGTTCTTAATATTTAAATCATCCCCCTGTATTCAAAGCTAAAACAATTTATGATACAAAGCTATTCCTAGTTAACTGAGAGTAATCCCTACTGAATAATTTACTTTTAAATAGACATATATAGGATTATACTGTTGATCATTTCCTAACACTGTATTTTAAGATCTAAAGTAAATAATTCTGCTTTGTTTGAAAATATCTTATATTAAATTATTTTATTAAAAAGCTATGTTCAACTGATGCAAAATTATTTCTTCCTAACTATGTTTGTTTATTTTAATTTTGTAGGAGAGACTGTTAAGATTATTTAGGAAAATGATTATAATAATATAGAAATAAGCAAAACAAATTCTATTACATTATGAAAATAGTGGTGCCCACTTTTTTAATGAGCTTTTTATTTACTTTTGAAGTTGTGCCTGTTTATTTTGTTTTTAATCCAGGGTACTAGACTAAATAATACTTGCACTAAATAATATTTGACCACATTCTTGATTCATTACATTGTGTAACATAACATACTGATAGTGATCTGCATCAACTTTTGAGAACAAGAGTTTGGCTTTTATAATAACTTTTGTTTTATTGCTGATAATCTAGAAAAATAAAATATAATGCCTAGGTTTTCCCATACTAGGGAGCAAGAGAAACATGGCCTATGGCCACTGTCTTGCATAATCTTCCAGAAATAACTATCTATCCTTTCTTAAACTGCTATGAGTAAGGAGGTTGGCTATTTTAATCTTTATTAGCACATACAACAGCTAAGTGGTCCAAGGCCAGGACATTAATTATTTATTCCTAAACAAAGCTTTGATGAGATAATTGCCATTGGTATCTTCTATATACAATGAAAGCTCCCCCCCTTTTTTGTTGGTTCTAGGACAATGGATAGGAAATCAGATATTGCTACATAGATTCTCTTTGGCACACCCACCACAGCCAAATTATACCACTGTGATAATGTACAATATTGTTCAGCAGTAAATAAAGACTTAAAAATATAGCCTGTGCAATTAGTTAACAGTTAGTCTTTTATTTTCTGTTAGAATTTAATTAACATCTTTCTGGATTTCAGTTTCAAAATAAAATTCAAATATCATGCTCCCATGTTTACTTTAAAATAATTATAAACACTGAAAATATCCAAAAATACAATGTTCATAATGGGGACTCCCCAAAGTTTGAATGTGAATGCCTTGGTAAGGCCACACTTGGAATACTGTATTCAGTTTTGGTCACCACGATGTAAAAAAGATGTTGAAACTCTAGAAAGAGTACAGAGAAGAACAACAAAGATGATTAGGGGACTGGAGGCTAAAGCATATAAGGAACGATTGCTGGAATTGGGTATATCTAGTTTAATGAAGAGAAGGACGAGGGGGGACATGAAAGCAGTGTTCCAATATGTCAGGAGCTGCCACAAAGAAGAGGGAGTAAAGCTATTTTTCAAAGCGCCTGAAGGCAGGACAAGAAGGGATGGAAACTAATCAGGGAGAGATGCAACCTAGAACTAAGGAGAAACTTCTTGACAGTTAGAACAATTAACCAGTGGAACAACCTGCCTCCAGAAGTGGTAAATGCTCCAACACTGGAAGTTTTTACGAAGAGACTGGACAGCCATTTATCTGAAATGGTATAGGGTTTCCTGCCTGAGCAGGGGGTTGGACTTGATAACCTCCAAGGTCACTTCCAACTTTATCATCATCATCATCATTTACATCTATATATGGATTGTGAATTTTACCTAATTATATAAATCTCCAATTTTTAGATAATTTTTCCATGAAATATGTAAAATTCTGGGATTCAAACTCTCAAAGGTTTATTCAAGAATACTGCAGATTAAATTCATAGCACTGAGAATAGTAAAAACCACAAGATAATATAAGAGCTTCAAAGGGATTATTATGTTTGCAAACTGCGTAGTTGTGCAACAACTTAGCAAATAGGAATTGACCAAAAAACACACACAAAACCCCCTAAATTTCCTAGATGTTGAATATATCCAGCAATTAGGATAAAATGCTGGGATTACATAAATAACCCATTGAAAATGCCAAATCATTGTGTGGATAAAAAAATCAATTCTAATAATTATTAGGTAAAAAAGTGAAAATATAAAACACAGTTTTGTAATACCTTTAGATCAAGGGTGTCAAACTGCCGGTCTGCAGCTCAGTTTCATCATACTAAAGCCGCGCCTACCCCATTGCCGGCAATGCAAAAAGAGTCGCAATATGTCGCAACACGTCACGTGACGTGGCTGTTTGAACCCCTGCTTTAGATGAATGCATGATGTAGCTACATCTGAAGTACTTTGATTTAATATATCTAAATAGTTCCTGCTTGAGGAATACTTCAAGACCAGATGATAATATGATGAGACAACTAAGTATGAATGAGACATGCAATATACATTTCTCTCTTAAAATATTATAACTCAAGGCTACCACATGATATTGACTGAAAGTTGATTTACAACAGACTTTAATAGTAGCAGCAATAAAAACAATGCATCACAACAATTATTTTCTTCATTCAATAATTCACCTGTAGAATTTACAATTGTAGAAGCTGAGATATATAAACATGGTGCTTCTAATTTAGCAATTGCCATAACTAATGAAAACATATACCCAATGCTTAGATAAGAACTGAATATATTTGTATACTTATTTAGATAAAATAAATTTAGAATTTGGAGATAATCCCTTTATCCCCGGAGAAGGAAATATTTTGGGGGATATTAAAAAGGCAGAATATTATATTTCCCCATGGATCTTAAAGGCAGAAAAGCAGGCCCAGTTTTTCTTAATAGCCCCAAATAGAAACTCAGCAGGCCAGGTCTGTAGAAATGCAGATTTGATAATCCCATTCAAGTCTGAGGCCCCATTCATGAGCAAAAATACTGCCTGCAGAAACCCATTCAAGACAGGATCTTTCAAAATCCTTTAGAGCAAAACTGATAGCTAACAATAGCAGAGTGATAGGATTAGAACCAGCAACCCCTTGCCCATCCAACACAGGACATAGTCATCAGCCCCAGCCCCAGCCCCAGGGAAGCAGGACATGATGTTTAGGACATAATAAAATTAACCCACCACCATCAGAATATAAAAAGGGCACACTCAGACTCAAGTCAAAGTACATGACACAGGAAATACAAAGCCACAGGAACAGGAACAACTCTAAACACAAAAGGCCAAGAAGATATAAAAACCCACCACTCTCAGCAACATGTGGTCAGCTGCTCCAGAGCCACATGTCTTTTGGTTCTGTTCTTCAATAAACTACAACCTTCTTTCTATAGCAGTCTCCATTTTGTTTATTCCTAGCTTGGACTGGACCCTGATGAAGATTTTTCTTTCAACATCATGTATAAACCACATCAGCCACCATTGGTTAATGATTTTTACTTTAGACAGATGTTTGAAAATAATTTAAGAATAATTTAGGGGATTTTAGAACATTTTCATAAAAGATAAATGATGCCTCACCATTTCCGTATCATTTATATTTAGATACACAAAGACAATATGAACTAAATTAGGCTGAGAAATGGTGTCCAATAACACTTGAGAATAATCATCATAACGAAGGAGAAATCTGATTCTAATCTGTAATCCATTTTAAATTAGGCGCTGAAATAATCTCAACCTATTGTCAAACTTTAAATGGGTAAAAATTCTGATTTGTAGACATGGAACCAGATGCTGTTTCATCCAGTCAGGTGAATCTGGAGCTTAACTGGATTAATGCAAGGTCCTGCATTAACACCATGTTGCAGAATCATTGAGTGTTTGTCAATTTTTTTGAAGGCATGCCTTATTTAGATGGGAAGGGAGAAAGGCAGACCTTCCATAGGGACCGCATTGATACATCTGAGTCAATATACCTCCGAAACAACAATTTTAGAGGCTATCTTTTATTAAGCAATTTACTGAACATTTGTGATATAGAGAAAGAGTCCACAGTTCCCTCTTCTTCCTTCTTTATTGAATATGTTTTTATTATGAAGAAAATACAAAAAAATTGCTCAGTTGAGAGAACAATCTGTTTAGATTACAAGATTTTTTATTAATAGAACAAAATAAAGATATCTTCAATCTTTTGTCACATGGTGCTCTTCCCCACTTAGCTGATTCCAATATTCAAATAAGTAGCATAGCAACAAGAAGATTAGAGGAATAAGGGAATACTGAGACATTTGACTAAATCTGAAAATCTTATAATTTATAATTAACATTTGCTGGGCCCATTGTTATAATTTTATTTATATTTATTAATATTTTTTCATAAAACAAAAGGCAAATTAAAAGAAAAAAGGAAAAAGTGCAAGAAAGAACAAAACTAAATTTAAAGAAAATATGAATGACTTCTAACCTTCTTTTGAACAGATAATTACAATCTTATTATCCCTCTTCCCTCTTAGCTGTTATAATTCCTTCATCCCTCAATTAATCCATATACTTCTTAATTTTCAAATCCATAAATCATCATTTTATTTCCTTCCTATTTCAGGAAAATTCTATATAAAGTTTCTAGTCTTTCAGGAAAGTTTTTGTTATTTTTGTCTCTGACCAACTAGGCCTATTGATAATCAAATAGTGAAATATGATTCAGATCCTTTACAAATTAAAATCTGCATAATTAAACTAATATAAAATTGCAGTGCAGTCATAGGAATGGAACAGTGATAATTTCAATGGAAAAAAGAATATTAAAATAACCTAAAACTTTACACTTAGAGATAACTGCTATAAGATATGTTATTGCCAGTATATTATACCAATTTGAAAGGAGCAAATTTTGAGGCTCCTTTCCTTCAAAATGCTGGAAATGGAACAGTTTGGATCTTCTTTCTGTATAATATAGGGTGGCAATGTTACAAAGTTTAACAATATTGGAAATTGTAGGATGGAATAAATCTTGAAAGTCATAATCTCATTTTAACCTGAGAGTTTTAAAATTTTCAATAAATTGTACATTGCACACAAAATACACACACACACACACACACACACTAGTGAGATGACTAGAGCCTGAACAATTGAGCACAGAGACTTTTGATCCATGAAAGGCAACAACTGGCACAATATCCAAAGTTGTGCAAAGGCTGTTCTAGCCACCATGATTGTCACTGCTCTTCAAGCAGGAATTGTGAGTACAGGAGAACCCCCAAGTTGCAGACCAGATATTTCTGGAGTAGTGCTACACCATCCAGAGTCAGAGATGAAAAAATCCCAGTTTTCAGGGCCCCATGTATCCAAAGCCATTTGATCTTGCTAGGGTTCAAAGCCTTTAGTTCCCCATCCAGGACCCCACAACCTCTAGGCAGGGCAAACATGACCAATGCAATTTCTGTCCCATAACTGGACCTGACTAAAAGGGTCCAGATAATCTGTTATCATCCAGGACCCTCTGAAGCTGCCAAGCTAGCACCTTTTTTAAAACCTTTCCCCCAAAGGGAAGATTGGAAACTAGGCAAAAGTTGTCCAAGGTGTGATCCAGTAGTGGTTTTTTTAAGGAGCGGGTGAACCAGGGCCTCCTTAAAAGCCTCCGGAAATGTCCCTTCCTCTAGTGATGTATTAATTACTGCATGGACTCACCTGCCAGTCACCATCCCAGAAGCTTTCACCCTCCAGGAGGGAAAGGATCTGACAGACAGATAGTGGCACTGACAGCATTTAGGACCTTGTCCACTTCAACAGAGTCAATATGGTCAAACCATCCCAGGCACATGAGATCCATTTTTCAGCAAATGTTTGTAAAGTTATACTTTGCAGTATGCAATGACAATTCACTATAAGTAATAAAAAAGTAGAAAAAGTTATTCATAATTACCTTGGGATCCACAATAGATTGCCAAAAGTATACAAAATAGGAGCTGTAATCTAAATGGCTGTTTTTACTTATGAGGAAATGACTTCTTGGATACAGGTTGTGTTTTTTAGATTTGTTTAATAATCATTGTAACAGATTTTATTTATTCCTCCCAACCCCAGAATGACATACCGATCAGAGCTACAAAACTTTGAAACTATTGAAGAGGAACAAGAACTACAGAACTCTGAATCCTGCAAAAAGGAACAGGATTTAGCAAAGATGTTTATCATTGATTTCAAGAAAATTGAAAGTTTAGATATTAGTATTCCATGTTCCATTTGTAAAGAAATAGTATATATCAGCCAACTTTTTCATCACAAAAAGGTTCACCAAGCTAAAGCTGTACTGGATTATGAGTGGCCATATGTGGAGCCTATAG